CCCAGGAAGAGCGCAATGATGGTGCCAACTCGGGCCAGTGAAGCAACGTCCTCCACAACTAGACTGAAGAAGAAAAGCACAGCAACTTGTCTGTTCCCCTTCCCCCAATTCCCCAGCATTGTTCCCATCCCCCCAATTCCCCAATACAAATCTTTAAAAAAAAAAAAAAGACAGAGTGGCTGAGTGGATGAGAACACAGGACGCACGCATATGCTGTTTATAAGAGACTCATCTCAGATCAAAAGACACACACAGACTGAAAGTAAAGGGATGGAATAAGACATTTCACGCAAATGGAAATAGGAAAAAATCTGGAGTAGCAATACTTATTTCAGACAAAATAGACTTTAAAATGAAGACTACAATAAAAGACAAAGAAGGGCAGTACATAATAATAAAGGGATCATTCCAACAAGAGAACATAACCCTAGTAAACATCTATGCACCCAACATAGGAGGACCTAAATATATAAAGCAGATTATGACCAAAATAAAGTCAGTGATCAACAGTAGCACTATCATAGTAGGGGACTTTAACACCCCGTTGTCACCAATGGACAGATCCTCCAGACAGAAGATCAACACGGAAACAGTGGCTTAAATGACACTTTAGACCAGCTGGATTTAATTGATATTTTTAGAACGTTTCACCCCAAAGCAGCAGCATATACATTTTTCTCAAGTGCACATGGAACATTTTCCAAGGTAGACCACATGCTAGGCCATGAAACAAGTCTCAATATTAATTTAAGAAGACTGAAATCATGTCAAGCAAGTTCTCTGACCACAGTGATATGCAACTAGAAATCAATTACAAGAAGAAAACTGGAAACACACAAACACATGGAGACTGAATAACATGCCTGCCCGGGGTCAAGAGCAGGGGAAAACACACACAGGACCTTTCAATGCAAAGGGTGTCAAGGAATGAGAGCCATCCTCAATCTGAAATGTAGTGCCATGCACACACACTTGTTGAGATGCTGCTGGGTGCCACACACTGGGTATGTCCATAGAACAAGGTTGTACTCAGATAAAAATTTCAGAAAGCAGGGAATTGAAAAAGTTGTGTTTTGGGAATTTTAAAAATCTGTTTCTGTACTGTGTATCATTCCTCATTTATATATTTAAATGCAGGCTTAAAGTACGGTATGATGAAAAAGTATAATAGGGATGCATTGATGGATATATCTGCTTCTTAACGTTACTGCATATCACACATAAAGTATTTCTGAAAGTTTTCATAACACAATCATGGAACAATGTGAATAAGATGGTAAATGAAATTAATAGAAAAATAATTTCGACCTTAGAGATTGCTGGAAAGGCAGGTATAGAAAAGTAACAAACAGAAATGGTCATTTAGAAAAGGGATGAAATACAACAAAGTTAAGAAAAAATCGAACTGCATATATATGTTAAACTTGATCATGTAAGTGACTAAATATCTAGAACAGTTTTGTCTTGGGAAACTTTATGCTTTTAAAAATAAATAAGGGCCCAATGATCTATTGTCAGTAGTATCAGCGAATGTCACTGTATGACGTATTAGAACAGATTTAATAATTTAAAATTTCATTTAAAAATCATAATACCAAACAATTACATCATGTTAACATCAACTCCAAATTCGTATGAAAAGTATTTTATCTAAAAGAGTACAGAGGAGAATGACATTTTTTCCAGATATTTGAAAATCTCCTTAATATCTGGCCTACCAGAAGACAGATGGATTTTTATATTTGCTTCTGAACTTTGTCTGTTGCCATATCAGACATAATGAGCTTCTGGAAAATTCCACCATGCACTCTTGAGGGAATGAGAGTGAAAGTTAAATATCATTGTAAGCCAAATATCCTCGAAATGGCAGACCTACATACCTAGGTCAGGAACAACTAACAGGAATGACCATTTAGGAAAGCCACGACAGGCAACGTGGTTAAGGAAAAATCTACGTATTTCCCTGGAATAAATTACACACTCTATATCTATTAGAGTAGACTTGATAACGTTTTGTCCACGGTAAAAAAAATGCTTTAAACCTCGGCAGAAAGCCATGGGATCAAACACGAGAGTAGATCCCATTTTTAGAGCTACAGGTCTTTTCAAGAGAAGGGAGGTGGCTCTGAAAAGAGCCTTTGGGTTGCGATGTTCAGGTGTTAGTTGCTCAGGCAGCTGATTTGCGCTTTCTGTACTAAAGGGTGGCCTTAGTGGCCTCAGACATGGTGTGCTTGCCAAGCTCCCCCAGGCAGGAGCAGGCGCACAGCCGTCTGGATCTCTCTGGAGGCATTGGTGGTGCGCTGGGTGTTGCAGAGTAGGCGCGAGGCCTCGTCAGCGAGGCCTCGTCAGCGATACGTTCGAAGATGTCCTTCATGAACGAAACCATGATGCTCACAGCTTCCTGCGACAGGCTCAGGCTCTGGTGAACGTTCTTCAGAACCCTGGAGAGGTAGGTGGCGAAACTGTGGGCACAGCCGCCGCGTCGGTGTCGGTATAGGTGTTGGTGTCGTCGGCGGCGGCGCCTGGGCTGCTTCTGCTTCGGGATCTCCAGCGGTGGTTCTTCCGTGGGCTCCTTCGTGTCCAGTAATTCCTCAGAGGTAGCTTCAGAGATAGGCTCAGCCATGTCGGAAACATCCTCCCCACAGCTTGTCAGGAAGGACTGGCAGCTGCTGAGCGGCAGCAGGCCGGTATATATGCACTGTATTCCCTGACCTCACGGGCAGTCTCCACATCTGATTGGGTAAAATGCCACGCGGGAGGTTGTCACAAAGTCACGCTATGTTACGTGTGATCAGATAGGCTCCTGCTTGGCATCACATCCACCAATCAGAGTGACGGTCCGTCCACCTCTGAACTTCGTACCTTTGAAAGAGGCTACATAGGGCAAAAAGTCATCTGACAGTGTTAGATGACTGATGCTTCAATGGGAGAACTTTGAAAAGACTTCACCAGAGGCACTTGAATTGTAGACGGTTCTGTTTACGCTCCTTGAGAGCCTGACCTTCATAACCCAATTCCTGACTCCTATCAGAATGACTCTGGCCACTTGAGCCCTTTTCCTCTAACCCAGAATCTACTCTTTTCCTGGGCTAAGCCACCCTGGTTCAAGCAGGAACTATCTGACATGGCCCAGCAGCGTTTGTGGAAATTAAGGGACACAATTGGCTAATTGTTCCCTCCATATTTGATCAAAACGCTCGGTGAGTTTGAGAAACGTGAAATGGCAAACCAGTCTCCAAACAGAAATGGGGAAACCTATAAAGATATTAAAACTACTTAAAAATCAGTTTGAGTTCTTTGAGAGAACCTGAACTTCAACACCCAACTCCTTACTGCCATAAGAATGACCTTAGGGCTATTTTTCTCTGTCAACCATTGGACCTTGGTGCCAAATCAACACCAACAGGAACCCCTAATACGGGGTGTGGTGAAAGTGAAGAAGGACACCATTGCACGATGTCACAGCACCATTATACAACAGCATGGCTGGAAGACTGCCCCTGGAGCAAGGCAGCTCGGCAGCTCGGCAGCTCGGCAGCTCGGCAGCTCGGCAGCTCGGCAGCTCGGCAGCNAGGGCAGTGTCACTGGCCCTCATATGTGGGATCCAAACCGGGGCCCTCTGGCATCCCAAGCGAGTTCTTAACCATCGCGCCACTCGGCCGGCCCTCCAAGTTCTTTCCTGATGACACTTTCCCAGATCCTTTGGATCCAAGTTATATGCATGGGGAACCATACTGTTTCCTGATGTGCTCAAGTTTGCTCATGATCAGATCTCTGCATCTTTTGTTTGGCTGTATACAACAATTTCTAGGAACCACAAATTGGAATCTACTTGCACTTGATTTCATGGTAGTTTTTCTAGGTGTATTATGCAGCTAGCTCATTTATTTTAAATGTTTTATAAGGTTTTTCTAATATTCCAAAATAATAAAAAGTAATAATCCTGGCGAGGAATCTTGCTTGTCCTAAATCGTGTCTCTGTAGATATCAAAGAGACTTCTGGAGGAAAAAGTGCCCCCCTTCATGATTAGAATTCCTTTTTTTTTTAAGTTTAATAGTTTTAGGCTGTGGATTTATTTATTTGCATCTGGTGTGTTAAAATGGAAATACAAAAAAAGGTAAATCTTCAACATACAATTTAGTTTTTCTTTAAGATCACTCTTAATAAGGTTAAAAATCCTTAGCATGTGTTGTACTTAAAAATTATGGTGGAGCAGATCAAGTGCTAGTCTAGAACTCTTGCCTTAGTTCTAAATTAATACCTATTTGCCTCTAAATTCTTTTGTGAGAGTGGGTAACTTGCTTAGCCTCTTTAAGCTTCAGTTTCTTTTTCTTTTATTTATTATTAGTTTCAGGTGTACAGAACAATGCAATAGTTATCCTTTTTACTGCTCACAAAGTAACAACCCCCCCATCCCCTGCCCTCCCACCCCCAATATCATACTTATCTATTACAATTCCATTGACTCCATTCCCACTCTCTACTCCACATCCTGTGAGTATATGTATATATAATTATAGTTGGCATACAATATTATGTATTTCAACATCAGCTTCAGAAATACAATAATTGTAATTCTTAATGTAGATATTTCTGCTATCCAGACCTGCCCCCATTTATCTGCAGAGCAAGTGGTGTTACCTGTCCAAATTATGTATGCCTGATGCTTTGAAAGGCTAAAACTGAAAACGTTAAAGTTGGAACAAAGAAAGGTTTATTGATCGAGAAGGCACCGACTGAGAAGATATGAACTCTAGTGGTACCTTAAATTGATCTTAAGGAAGTACAGAGTTCAGGCTTCTCTTATGTGAAGGGAAGGGGAAATGGGCGGGGCAAAAGGTGATTCACCACCACAGACATCTAGGCATCAGCAGAGATCTGAGAAATGTTGTGCTCATTGATTTGTGTTTGGTCACAGAGGTCTGTACAAAATTTGATAAACAATACACACTCTCTTTATCTCCTTAAGCCCAAAGCAGAAATTCTCTAATAATGAGCATGTCTATATGCAAGACTAAGCAGAAGTTATCAGTCTAAAGGCCTGGCTGCCAATGCAGGAGTGCATGCTGCTCTAACTTGGTGGGGGCCACTGACCACACCCTGTGGTGCCATGGGGGCCTGCCCTGCCCACCTAGAGCTGTGTTGCCAGGGGCACCCTGAGCCCCTGGTCCCTGGCTCTTACCTCCGCAGCCCACAGAGGGTTTTTTGCAGCAGCAGACAGCCCGCAACAACCTGTGAGGATTTTTGGTGGTGAGCACAGTTCCAGAGCACACAGCAACTAATTGTGGGAAGCTTACTTCAAGTCTAGAGGGAGGTCGGTGCATAACAACAGCTTGTGCTGAGTCACCCAGAGTCTCTCTATTGTTGAGCAAGTGGTCTGCAGATTAAAGCCCCTCCCCCCTTTTTCCTTTTTTCCCTCTTTTTTCTTTTTCTTTTTTTTCCTTTTTTTTTCTTTCTAGGTGATCTAATACATCAAAGCAATCAGAGTGACAGCCACAATGAAGAAACAAAGAAACATGTCCCAAGTAAAAGATCAGAAGAAACCTCAAGAAATGGAATTAAATGAAACAGAGGTATCCAACCTTTCAGAGACAGAGTTTAGAACACTGATGATAAGAAAGTTTCAGGAATTTAAGGAAGACATAAAGAAAGATACAGAAATCATAAAAAGCAACCAGGTAGAACTAAAGAATACAATAACTGAAATGAAGAACACACTCTAATGAATCGCCAGTAGATTAGATGAAGCAGAGGATCGGATCAGCGATTTAGAAGACAAATGAGCAGAAATCACTCAATCAGAACAACAAAAAGAAAAATAATAAAAAACAATGAAAATAGATTAAGAGACCTGTGGGACAACATCAAGTGCAACAACATTCGCATCACAGAAATACCAGAGGGAGAAGAGAAGGAGCAAGGGATTGAGAACATATTTGAAGAAATAATGACCGAAAACTTCCTTACCTGGTGAAGGAAATCGACATACAACCCCAGGAAGCACAGAGGGTTCCAAACAAGATGAATCCAAACAGACAGACACCAAGACACATCATAGTTAAAATGGCAAAGGTTAAAGACAAAGATAGAATTCTGAAAGCAGTAAGAGAAAGACAGCAAGTTACATACAAGGGAACTCCTATAAGACTATAAGCAGACTTTTCTACAGGAACTCTGAAGGCCAGAAGGGAGTGGCAGGGAATATTCATGTGATGAAAAACAAAGGCCTACAACCAAGATTGCTCTACCCAGCAAGGCTATCATTTAAAATTGAAGGAGAGATAAAGAGCTTCCCAGAAAAGAATAAACTAAAGGAATTCATTACCACCAAGTCAGCATTGCAGGAAATGTTAAAAAGACTTTTTTTAAGCAGAAGAAAGTGAAAAACAATCTGACAAAGGAAGACCAGAAATATGAATAACAAAATGGCAATAAATATGTACCTATCAATAATCACTCTAAATGTGAATGGACTAAATGCTCCAATCAAAAGACAGAGTGGCTGGGCCGGCGAGTGGCGCGATGGTTAAGAACTGGCTTGGGACGCCAGAGGGCCCCGGTTCAGATCCCACATACGAGGGCCAGTGACATTGCCCTCCACAGCTAAGATGCTGAACAGCAGCTCAACCTGGAGCTGGGCTGATGTGAGTCACCGGCGACAGCATAGGCTGCAGCCCCTGCTGCAGTGGGTTGCCATGGGCTACCGTGTGTAGCCAGCAGCCAGCGTGAGCGGCCAGCAGCTGCAGTGAGCGG